AAACTGCAAGAGCTCCTGGACTCCCGCCATCGGGATGAGTGTCGTTTGTATCTATTTTTCCAAAACTGCTTTCATGCTAGATTAGATGCACTGTGAAACTGCATTCTTTCTGCATTCATTCATTCACTCTGGGTGAACCCACTTGTGGGCCCTGGGCCTAGAGCGGGGAACCCCACTGACTTGGTTCCTGCCTGTGAAGAACTAACAACACAGTAGAGAAGACAGTTCTCAGGCAGTCCCCGAACTCCACTTCTTCGTGGGAGAGCTGGGGGCGGTGGTGGTGGTGGTGGTGGCGGCGGTGGCGGCGGCGGCGGCGGTGGTCTACAGTCTCGTAAGCCCTGGCGGGCTGCGGACTGTCAGCCTAAGAGCGGCGGCTGGGTTCGGGCGCCCTCTGGTGGTAAAGTCTCCCCACTTCTCCCCTCAACACCCTGGCGCCCTCTCCCAACCTCCCCCACACAATCCCCTCCTCCTGCCCTAGTCGTGGATACTGGTGGACTAAGAGCTCAGGCTCTCCCACATCCCTGTGAAGTCGGTTAAAGCTGTGGACTCCGCTGTAAATGGGACGGCCCGGACTTACGGATACTTCATGGAGTCCGGAGCCCGGCGGGAGCCGCGGAGAGCCTTGCCTGCAAGTCTGGCCAAAACAAATGTCAAAGCCTCTTGCTTGCTTCCTTCTTGCCACAAAATCAGGTTCTGCCCTAAGCCGAAGCCGAAGCCGAAGCCGAAGCCGAAGCCGAAGCCGAAGCCGAAGCCGAAGCCGAAGCTGAAGCCGTAGCCGGAGGGAGCCACTGGGAGAGACCTGGGTGGGCTGGGGCAGAGTAGAACCAGGGCCTTTTGCCTGATGGCGCTCTGAGACCCTAAGACTGACATTAGTATTGGACACATCAGAGCCTATTGCTTGCACCATTCATTTACTAAAATACTTATTGAGCATTTACTATGTGCCAGACACAGGCTAAGTTTTGAAATATTTTAGTAATGGAAGCACAATCCCCTTTCCAAACTCCTGTCCTCCTGGAGTTTGCAAGGGGGAGGGGGGCGTGTTGGAGAAGGAGAGGAAAATGGCACTAAACATAAGTAATTAAGCCAGAATCTATAGAAGGTTGGAGGTCATTAAGTGCTATGGGAAAATAGAGCCATGGGAAAGGGAAGGAGTTAAGGTCTTAAATAGGTCTTAAATACGGTCTTAAATAAGGATTTGTATTTTAGGTAGACGAGCCAGTTTTTCAGTTGACGAGCTATTTAAATTTATAACTCTGTACAGGCCAATATTCTGGGGCCAGGGACCACCAGATTGTGCCTTTTTATCCTGGGCTCAGCCACAGGGGCACCTCCCAAATTCACGGCAGCAGAGCCCACCGAGCTTTCTCCTGTCCTTTGCTTATACCACTATCTCTTCTTGAAAGACTCCACCTTTCTTTTCTTTCTCTTCCAGGGAGCTCCCTTCATCATCAACGCGCAAAGCAATGCCACCTTCCCTGTGAAATCTTCCAGATCTCCCACACCCAGCACTCAGAGAGTTGCTGCCCCTCAGGGATGCCTTAATCATGTGGAGTTCCAGGTGGGAGGGAGGCAGTGGTCTGACCCTTGAGTTAAAAGGCAAGTAAGTGCATCTCCATGGCCCAATTGTGTGTTATCATCTCTAAACCCCTCTACCCTGTTCAGGCAGCTGCCCGTGGCCCTCTGCCCAGCTCCGGGTGTTGACATCTTCAGGATTCAGTAGGCAGGCTTTTGGAGAGGGACCTTAGTATATGGTCAAAGGTTTGCACCAAATTATTGTTTTTCAGTGTAACCAACAAGGTGACTTTAAGTGGTACTCTGAAAACATTATTTTTAAAAATATAGATTTACATATTTATTTTTTAAAGTAATAAGAAAAAATATAAGTGGCACATTACAGCAGATATTTCAGATATTGCTCAGGATTAATTACATTTTTTAAATATATGATTTAAGTTTTAAAAAATAAGTAGATTTAAACTAACATAGCATGCAATGAGGATATATCAAAAATCAGACAGTGATACCAAAAGATTCAAAGTTTGAAAATGCTGCCTAAATAAAGAGCATTGTTTTTGTATTATTTGACATTTTCTTCACCTATTTAAACCGTTTGGCCCCAAAGCAGTAAAACAAAATCATGTGAGGGAAGGATGGCATCTTTTTCACTTTTGTCACCCATACGAGGTCAGAAAATGCTTGCTAAGGAGTGCTTAGATCCTAGGAACAGTATGAGGACATATGAGATCCTAATCCTCCCCCACCCTGGGTATCCATGTCCCTAATCACTCCAACTATCAGTTCTCCTTCTCCCAGCTTTGAGTGTAGCTAGAAGAGGCACAGCCAAGAGACAGCTGTATGTGCTTCACCTCACCACCCCACCTCTGCTCTCCTACCTTTGGCATCTTGTATTATGGTTCATGAGTTGGTGTCCTATCTTGGGACCCAGGAGATCCTGTGAGACAGACAAATCCTCAGAGTCTTTATGCTGTCATCTATGGAATGGGTATACTAGCTTTCAGGGTTGGTACTGGGATATACTAAGTATGAAATCACTTGGCACAGAGAGGGCCCTTAGGAAGGTATTTACATAGTACTTCAGCTTGCTTTCTCTGAATTTGTTTCTTACAAAGTCTGAACTTACAGAATAAGCCCTAATATCTCAGCTTTGAAGATAAGGAGCCCGAAGCTCAGAGTGATTGAAGGCCTTGGCTAACATGGCAGAGCTGATCAGGGGCAAAGGCACAACTCTCTGGGACCAGCATCTCTGGATTCTGGAATATTAGCAAGGCTGTGGGAGCTTGTGCAGGTGACATAAGTCACTTCCATGACAGATGTCTAGGGTGCCTCTTCTTGGAGTCCTGTACCCAGAAGCTGTTGTGCTGGCTGTTTCCCTTGACTAGATCCCAAATTGGCCTCAAGAGCAAGTTCCACAAGCCCTAGACCATTACAGAGGGAAGGACCCCAGGGAGGCTGAGCCGGGGCTCCTACATGAAGGGCTCGGTGCTAGATCCTGGCTGGCTTTGGAACACAGCAAGCCCTAGGCGAACATGCACATCCAGCAAACCAGATCTGTCTAAGGGGGCTGTGCTCAAAGGCTCTCCATCAACTGACACTCTTAAAGCGAGAGTGGTGTTTTCTGGGACATCCTTCAAGATCATGGTCCACCAGGGCTAATGTTCTAGGGAAAATCAGACTGAAGGGCCCTAAGAGTTCAGGGCTATGCCCCTAACCCCCACATCAGATCCCACAAACCAACTCGACTCTGCCTGAACCCCATCGGTAGAGTCAAGTCCTAACCCCACCCTTCTCTCCTGATATCCCTGCCTCTGGGCACATTGATCTCAGAACCTGGGGCTTCTTGAAAGTTTCCAGAATTGGAGCAGTCTTTTGCCCCTACCATAAACCCCTGTGATAGGAAGTATGAGCCCTGGGGGATCCGTAACATTTACATAGTAGTTATTCAGTGTTGTACACCTTTCACTTCCTTTATCCTCACATCTACCTATGAGGTGGATTCAATGTTAACCCCATTTCCCAGATTTGGGAGCTAAGATCACACAGCCACACTTCGGCAGAGCCAGGATTGAAATCAATTCTGCCTAGCTTCAGAGTAGGGCTATTTCTGATGAAGATAAAAGAGAGGGTTTGTCGCATAAAACACAGGACACTTAGTTAAATTTGAATTTCAGATA